TTTACCAATAAAAATTTACGATAACCGTTTGTAAAGCCTCCATTAAGAGAGGTAAATGTAAATGGCTTTCGGCATGTTAATTACAATTTCCTGCTATCCAGAATAACCAACTTTTTTAAAGTTGTCTTAATTTGGAGGAGTAGTGAAGGAAAAGTTGAATTTTTAAAAACAACATTGAGGCAGCTTACCATGCACTACTTGCTCATCTACCTCGCGTCCATCGGTTCACTTACAGTGGGTTAAGAAGTCTATCTGAATTGTGTGAAATGCCAAACCTGCTGGTGTCCATGAATTTGCTTTTTAAGTGCTATAAAAATACATTTAATTAATAGATACCTAAATCCTCACTGGGTGTCTAGTTACCAACTTTATTGTAGAATGGAAAATTGGATGAAGGACAACTCATCGAAGCCTTTGACAGGTTTGCAAGATCAAGTGGCGCTGAAATTCAGCAAAATCTTTTGTATCCACACGAATGTAAGTCAGCACTTTATTTTGAAGAGAAGGTCAAGCCCCTCCAAAAAAGTTAGACTCTACAATATGACACTTTGGACTAAAATTAATTGCTACGACTTGCCAGAACATGGCATTCTCTGTGCGGCCGAAGTGCTAGTGTGCGTTATCCCGCATGCCTCCGGTTACCTCACCAAATGCCATTTAGAAGTAAGAGATGTAGTTCAAGATTGCTCACTTTAAAAATTGACTTTAAACTGACTCATAGAAGGAAGTAGTAACTGGCTTCCAATTCATCCCTATTCGAAAAGGTTATCTAAATAAGTTGGGGTGGTGATGTGATTCGATGACGATGTAGCCCTCATCACTTCAGTGGAGGATGAGTGTACTCATAAATTTGAATAACTTTCCTTGAGATTTATTAAGCACAGTAGGTGGTGCCACAAGTCAGCAAAATTTCTGTCAACTTGGCCATTATTTGAGGCCAAGTAAATGAATCCCACGTACCACCAATTGTTGGTTACCGTGAGTATTGTGGAACCGTTAACTTGTAGCGCATTTAAAGCCAGCTAAGTAATTGCAAGAAGTGACTTTTATGTTCCAACACTAGGCCTACAGATATGTTACTGGGTTTTTTTGGCCATCAGCTTACTACCCCGATCAGCATTATTTTATCCTCGATAGGGTGTGGGCTTTAAGTGCGTAAAATGGTCAGTTATTGTGGCAAATGACATCAGCGCTTGCTGTTGAGATCGAACATGCATGAATTTTCCCTCTTCATTTGTACTTAGAACAGATGATCCAGTTTGGGGAGTGTGATTTTCGTAAGGTAGGATCGAAGGCTTCATAATGACGCAAAGTTAACTCGCTTCAAGAGTTTGGACCTTGATCACGAAAAATGCATCTTCATCTCATTTTCTGGATCTCCGTGCTACCAGTCCTTCAGAGAATAAGTGCCTTCCTGACAGCAATCACTTTCAACACTGACTGATAAGAAATACTGACCAGACGTGGGTGGGTTCAGGCTATTGGCTTCCAAGAGGAAACCTGTCAAGCAGGTGGAATCATCGACTCGGCATCTCATTGAATTAGAATGTCTTGTGTGACAAAAAAAAAGTTTAAAAAACCCTTCTAAAATCGCAAAAGCCATCTGGCTACTTCAAAACAGAATGTGCTGATGATGATGTGCTGCGCATACCAACACAAAAAGGCGCTAAATAAGGCAATATTATAATGTACCTTGATGTACGAGTGCTTGATCGCGAGATTTGACTATTTTGTTCCTTTCGGAGCAAGTAAATTACAATTTCAAATTAAGATTGCTTTCCAATTTTTTTTTCAGGGCGTATTCACGAATATCATCTGCGACACGCAAATTTCGACCCCTGGGACAGGTCTGTTAAAATTTTGCCTTGTCAGCCTTCTGCTCAGTTCAAAGATGGCAAAATTTTTCATGAACTGACCTCTGCTGTGGTTGAAAACCAGATCAACAATTCGTAAAAGACCCACTTAATAGTGTTTCAAGTCTTTTATTGCAATAATATTGGTAAAAGAAGAAAGCTTCAATCCTGCTCCTAAAATGGATAGAGTTATAATCCACGTGGTTTTGCAAGTTTAGCCACATTCTTTTCCAGTGACTTGTTCAACTCTTTGAGGGCCTTCTGAATAGCTTCCCCGATTCTCATCTCAATGTAGCCACCGAGTGGTCCGGCAGAAAGGGTACCTGCTAAGTCCGTGAGAAAGTCGAAATCATCGCTTATATCAGCATCTGGAGGCTGTATAAACTTCAGTCTACTTATTTCTACTGTTGGAATACCGTCAAGTTTAATCAGGGCTCCTGAATTTTCCTGATAAATTTTGGGCAGGGTCAACGTAAGGTTGAGGCGTACTTTGAAGTTGAATAGTTGTAGAGTCGAGGGATTGGGGTTTGAATCGTAGAAAAAAGTTGAAATTTGAAAAATTGCATCAATTTTGAAGAAATTCTTCAGGTCAATGCAAAGTATGCCACTGATGTGATCTGCTGCGGGTGTTGAATAAACGTTCAAGTCCATAGGACAACCTCGAGTGGCATTACTCAAACCGTAGATGCTAGCATTCTCTACGTTGATCATTCCTTTTGGCGACTTATTCATGGTCAAAGGCTCAGGCAGCATAAATCGCAAAAGACTCAGTAGATAGTCAAAAAGAGCTTCAATAAGATCTGATGCATCGTTGGGGCGGGATGAAGACGTAACCCAATGTCCTTCCGCCAGGAGACAGAGAAAAATTGCTGCTAAAGCAAAAGCCAACATACGTTTGTCACTCAGTAGTTGTGCCAACAGTCATATATTTGGGTCCAACTTTGTTTACTTTGAAAAGTGATTCTGATTTGCTGCGGGTAAAATGGTGCTGCGCCCCTTCATTTTTGCCACCCCACTTCCCTTTGTGAAAGAATGAAATTTGTTTTACACTAGTAAACGAGCCAACGATTTTATTGGAAAACTTATGAGGTTTTTTATGGTAAAATAATGTACAGGTTGAAATGTTTTCTCTCCGACCTCCTAAGCATCAAAGTGTTCGACGTGACCTTCTCTATCTTCCACTGTTAAGTAGATGTTGTGCCACTGAAACAATTGTGATATATTGGGATTGGCCTTAAACACACAGAATGCCTTAGTCTAGTTTTCCTCCAGTGAGACGAACAAATTTAGCCATTTAATGTATTTAAATGCATTAGTCTCTTAAACCAAGCGCTCGGAAACGGGCCATACGGTGAACAGATGAGTAACGGATCATGAAAAGCGCTTCACACAACGCAACTTACAAATTTTCATGCTAACGATGATTAAATGAGTTGGATTGTTGTTTCAAATCTACCAGATTTTGAGCGTTGATGCGATCAAGCACCTCACAGGGGTTGGCTAATTGCGTATGGGCTATCACTTTGAAGAATAGTTTTTGCGCTTCGTAGTTATTTACTTCAAAATGCCTTTTTTCTTGGAAAATTCTCCATTGGAAAAGACTAACCTGAGGTGCTCTACTTACGGTATGGGAGATGTTAGGAAACAAAAATATGTAAGTATGGAGTATGGCAAGAACAAGGACATTCTAAGATCCTCCTCTAGCCACCATTGCCATCTTTACCGCAAAATCAACATGAATGGCTAAGATGGCAAAAGCAGTCTTAAAACCTACCCACAAGCACGTACATCCGCCACGAAGCCCAAATGGCTATGGCTCGGCTTCGAAATTTCAGCCATTTACAGACACTTTGCCAGATTGGTCGAATTGTATAAACATTCCGGCGGTGGGAAATGTCATCCGGCGGTCCGTGACCTACCCGTTTTTCCTCTCTTCCAATTCATGCTTCTCTGTCAGGTTGGCTATTTTAGCCCAAAAAAAAGGGTGAGGCAGGACGTTTATCGAGGTACGAATGATGGAAATGCCCCTGGCTCAGAACAATATGAGCATGCCGTGGCAATGACAAGTATTTGAGCAATCTGTTTCTGATTACTTGGCAAGGCTGTGAACGTCCCAAACACGTACCACACACATTGTTTGATTTCTTAAACAGTAAGGTTGATGGCTATTCGTCAGAGCAAATCTTGGTGTTATGTCGTGGAACAGTAGGAAATGCAAAATTCAAGTGACTTTATTCTCTTCCGATGTCTTAACTGTTTGTTGTCCAAAAAGCGTTTATCTTTAGACTTCAAATGATACGAATCTATGTAAAAGGAAGTGCAGTAAGCACGTGGGATCATGTGGACCTTCCCCATTCCACCGCTATAAAATGACAATCTCGACCATCCTTCAAGGATAAATTCTGTAGCGCAGCGCTGGCTGCATTATAGAGTGGTTCTACAGTTCTTTATCACTTACATGAAAATACATCTATCACCACCGACGCCTCGGTGAGTAAAATGCCCTGTTTAGAGAGCAAAACACAAAAATTTACGTTACAACTTTAGAAATTTATCCGTGTAACACCTATTTTATGCTAAAATCAGAAATCAGGCTTGAACCTCGTTTTGCAGGTTAAAAATGTCTTTGAACAAAGTCTTCTCACACTAGTCTACTAAGTGCTAAGGGCCACTGTCTCCTCTCCGAAACCTCGAATGTGGAAGGGAAACTAATTTGCGTTTTACGAGATTTGCTGCCTGTTTATCCTCCACAAATTTAGCTAATGCCTATGAATTATCGTTAATCAAAACTCATCTTCCGGCTCCATTTCCACTGTTCTGTTGGGAATTCACGAATTGACGCCTGCCACACAGGCGCAACGTTCAGAGCATTGCGCATGCAACGCTAGTAACCGACGTGTCACGCGTTGTCAGCAAAGCATTCTGCAACGATGTTCTCCAACGGAGCATGCCAATTGAATGCCACTTAAACACGCAACCACTGTTGAATCTGGATGTCTTTTAAGGAAAAATAGAATAAAAACCACAAGAAGGACGGAGGAGCGGCAGGAAAAGAGTGACAAAGAGTGCACAGCATAAATGATAATGAGATGGTAGCACAGGTCTGTTCATCATTTGCTGCTAGAATCACGCAAAAGACAAAGTTGCTTTGACTTTCATCCAAAGCTTTTCCAAACTTCTGGCATTTTAATCCATTTGATCGCAAATGTGGTGGCTTCCCGACAGAGTAAAGGTGGAGGGTGACCGTCATTTGTTAAAGCGACTTGGCAGCTTCGAGTTACAAAAAATTGTTAAGTCATTAAAAAGTTGTTTTTAGTTGCAATGGGTTGAGTAGCGACATAATTCACACAGATTGGAGAACCAACTATTTGCATAATGAATTTCAGACAAGTCCCAATTCCTTGTGTAGACCAGTTCCATCTATGAGTTTTGAAAAAGATGTTATGATTTTCCAATCGGAATGAGAAAACTATCCTTTACTTCCAACCAGTTGTGAGAAAAAATACCTCATAAAATTACCTTTTTTTCTGATAAAGCAGTGAGGGAGTTGGATCCACTATAAATTATGTTTAAGCGACCAAAGTCGTATCATGAAACCAAGGCAACGATCTTATAGCACGCAAACGAATTTCAGTTCCACAAGTTACCATCACGATGTCCATCAAACCCAAAAGAGATGAAAATAAAAATTTTGAATTAACACTTCTCCAGTTGAGGAGTCTAAAATCTATCCTAAAGTCATAGTCATTCAGAGAGCTGTAGAGAGACGTAATGCGAACATGCGGAGGAGGTGAGGAAATCCACGCTAGATCATTGCTGTCGATGAGAGAGTGCAATTTATCTGAAACCAACCAGCTCGTGAAGTTACATATCCAGACAAACGGGTGTCAACTCACCAACCAGCTTAGCTTTTTCCTCCAATCATAGCCAACAGCGTTTACGCCAATCACTTTGATGCTTTGCTCATCACAAGGTAGTCGATACTCGAATGACCACCTTGGAGACACGAATGGGAGATTATAAATCTTGGCAAAGCTAAGAGAACGAGTAATCCGTTTTTTTAACCCTCATTCCCTAAGTGTTACGGAGGAGAAGGTTTTCCGCCTTTGTGTTGTTCGAAGCTAGGGTAGGCACGACTATGAGGTGGCATAATATGCACACCATTGCCAGTAGGGACATTTGCATAAAAGCAGACCAGATCACCTGGCCACACCGACGAGGGCTCAGGAGAAATTATTAATCAGTCACGTACCTCAAGTGTCTTTGCATCAGTGCCAATGATAGTTCCATGGCCTATAATTTTTACAGTCAAATAATCTTACCTCAGGTTCATTTGTTAAGTGAGCTGATCGCTAAAAGTGAATGTGACTTTAACACCTTTTGTAGATCAAGATGCTTACTACAGGTTTCCTCCTTCTTCAATTTTAGCTTGGTAATCAGCCGTTTGGATTGGACGTATGTACCGGTGGCATTGAGTTGGCACTCTAGTTTCCTTGCCGCAGCAGTAGGACATAAAAGAACAGTACTGCAAAGGCAGACATAAATGCCTTAAAGGGTAGAGGGGTCTCTCGACGAACTATGAAACCAAACAAATCTCAAGTCACAGAAATTTGAGAGGACTTTTATTTTTAACAACTTTAATGAGGATACTAGGTGATAAGTCCAACGGAAGTAAATATTCTCAGAGTATGCAACTGTAATGCTTCAGATGTTTGTTTAACTCCTTGTCATGATTACAAAGATACATAAGGTTCTGCAACTGTACTTCCGCTGGATGGTGTGGCCGCCACCCATCCTCTTCTTCTCCGCGTAGTTGATATTTGATGTGCCAATATTATGGCTCCCTCCAACTCGAAAGCAAAACCAAGTTTAGGAGAACAACTACCTTGGCTTCGCTTATTAAATGCCAAACCTTAGCATCCTAGAAGAAGACGATAGGGTGGAGATTAGCTAACCTTTGACAACTCTCAATAAGAGGCTTAAGGGGGCGTCGAACTTGAAAACTAACTCAGCCTTGTTCTGAAGGAGTGAGGTTAACAGGTGAACTGAACCTAGTTCCAGACCATCTGAAAAAAGTGCTACAGAACTGTTGATGCTACCTAGAAAAATGTCAACGAAGTGAAATTGTGATACCCCCTTCCTAACACTCTCCTTGCCAGAAAATGTGATTTGATAACACTAAAGTGATAAATAGAAAATCTGTGCGAAACCTTACACCTAAGAAGCTATTTGAATCAGTGTCTTTCCAACTAGTGATGGACATGGAAGATGGCCAACGCAGTTCCCTTTCTCCAGTGCTGTTCCAAAAAAACCAAAACGCCAAATGACTCGAGGTTGCCGAGGACAAAAACTGCGCGAAAATTTTTGAATAACACGATTTGGTGATGGGTTTACTCCTAGAGCATCGACTGCAATTAAGGCTTCGACTTTGCACTTCCTCTGAGCGGTATGGCTTTGTCCGTACCCTCTCAGTCTCTCCGTAGGGTACTGCTGCATTTTCCGTCCTAGTGCAGTGCCTTCTGCTACCATTAGGGGACTGTGGGAGAGTACAGGCGTAAAGTTCTGCAAGTCACTAGCCTACTGTTAGAGTCCCATAAAAAAACAAGGTAAGCAAATGATTAAAAAAAGTCTAGCATGTGGAGTTCGATTTGAGCAGTGTTGATCATGGGTAGGCCAGCCTTCAACTTCAAGGATGAATTAATTTCTTTATATTGAATGGAGATAAGAATAAATATGCCTATATGTCAATAGGCATCCATTATTAGTACTTCTGCAACAGCTTCGGTTAAACGGCACTACCATTGACCGAAAAGTGATGAATATGGGGCCATGGATTTTGTCAAAGTATGTTTTGCCTTGGGAGGCATCCGATAGAACTCGATTTATCGCGGTGTTTGCATTTACTGATTGTCTCTTGTCCAATCAGTGCGCCCAAACGCGTTCACATTCTGCTTCAGTGGCCGAAAAGTTGTACTGAACGCAAACTAGGTAAAAACCAAGGCCTCGTTTATGTAGACTGTGATGCAGTAAGTTAATCATTTGTTTACCATTCAGCTTGGATAATGGATCACCTAGAGGCCCAGACATTGTACCTGTGAGAGGGCGTCTGACCCCTGTGGCATGCCAGTGGTCAGATGGGCTGCCAGAGTTCATACACTTATTTTGCTCCAATCTAACTCCTCTCCAAATTCTATCTCCAGTAGGAAATGCCATTTGATGGCGTTGTTTATTGTATGGCATGTGGTCGTCGATCGACCTGATCTGAAGGCTTTTTTAACGTGAAGGGACGATCCCTTCCTTCACCAAAAGCCAAAGAGAGGAGGATGAGTTCCATAGCCGTTGAAAGTGTTAAAATGAGGTTTACGACTCTTAATCATTGATCATGCAACTTAAAACGGAAAGCATCTTCTGCAATTCCCACCTTTCAAATATGGGGAAGAGACTTCAACAGCTTGCAAAAGTAATAAGTCCAAGGGTCTCCCATCAAAACCCAGGCAAAACATTTGCATGGATAAGCAGTTAAAATAATTTGAGCTGTCAAGAACGATTGCAAATGAGTAGAACCGTAGAATCTACGCAGTAGAAAAAAGTAGATGAATGAGAGATATAAATGAAAAGACCACTGCAAATCCAGTCTAATCCCAAACGGACGGAAATGCCAGCTTTAGGTCTTTCACATCCACTACTTGACAAACGTAGCTCCCTTGTTTTACGTTCATCTGGTTTAAATCAGCCACACGCTATGGGTGCCTTAAAACCAAACCCTACAAATTTTCTATTCTTGTATGATCTGACCCATGTGAACTTAGCTACGAAAGACAACGACTTCCTCGAACCTTCAACACAAGCCTAGATATTTTTGACGATGCATTTATTTACATCAGTGAGCTTCAATTCAAGAGGGGACAAAGAAGACTGATCAAAAAGGTCATGAAAATAATCTGTGAGGGTGAAGGAGTATATACACTGTATGAAAGATCATGCCTTTGGTTTACAAAAAAAGAAGAGCGGAAGGAAGGATAAGACGTCAGAAAGTGCAGATACAGGGCGCGATTCTCTCCCATCACATGTCAAGGTCAGGTTAGGCCGAAGATACTCGCCAGAGAGATGATCAGGATGAGAATGAGGACACCGAGGATGGTATAGCAGATTATCTTTTTCTAAGGAAAAATTACCGATAAACAATTCTATAGGAAATTTAAATGATCAGGAGGAGACAATATCAGCTCCTTTGAATAGTATCTTATCCGAATCAGTCTGATCGTAAAGATCCTTCATTAGCTAGTTTCTTTCACTTTTTTAAAGTAGGAAAGAAGTACACATTAAATCAGTGTAAATAATACCCAAATATAGCGAATTAAGACAATCCATACAAACCGTCACTTGTCAATGTTTCAGAAAAAAACCCAAACCTTCCCATCCAATGCCAATGCCACTTTCCCTCGAAATCGTTCATTTTGTTGAATTCTATCAAGCAAAAAGTTCCACCTACTGCTTTGGCTTACCGCTCAACATACAATCAACTCCATATGCGTCCATCGCATAGAAGTAAAATAGAGCCCTGTGGGACTGAAGTGGCGTGCATGACGAGGATGAAACGAAAGGAAAAAATTGACAGATCTTGAGACTTGCTGATAGCAATAAGTTCACGACAGAAAGGATCGAATACCAAGTTTTGCCACGGCTGACTCCAGGTGTTGAAGTTGTCAATGTAGCTTTGTATTAACCTTGTTCATCAAAGTTAACAGGAGGTTTTGAGAGCTTATTATCAAACTGTGATGAAAGAACTAAGAGGAATGGTCAAATCGGAACAGCGATATGGAAAGTGACAAGACTGTGCACAAAGACAGTTGGCGCCAGATACGATGGTCTATCAACTTTAACGGGCAGTTGCATTTGAATCATAGTGAGGAAAAACCACAAAACGAAACAAGAAAAACTAATGCACAGCGTAAATGCTTGGATTCGATCAAAGTCCACACCACGGTGGGTGTGAAAATAAGAGGAACAGAAGTGAGTGTAAGAAACACAATTTAACCAAGAAATGGACGCAAGGACCTGGAGTCTAGCTCTCCTATTGAAAATAACCAGTGCACCAACATGATGGTAGACATACCGGAGCGGCAAAATATGCGCATCCAAAGGCTTGATTGACGGTGCAAAATGCAGACATGCAGGTGAACTGAAATGGACGTGACTCTCTATACCAACTGACAACAATAGTGGGATACGCCTATTTTGCTAACATAAAAAACGCAAATCTTGATAAGTTTCCCAACGCAAAAAGGAACCCTGACAGGTAACAAGAGTGGACAGGATATAGTAAGGGTCTAAGGACGGAACTCTTCAGCTCTTGAAGGAGAAGAGCAATGAATCAGCTCCAGAGATTAGAAGAAGACTGATAGGCGATGGAAACTAAAATTACGACAGTATAAAAATAGCCAAGGGGAGATCAACCAGTTAACTGAATGCAAGTCAATTAACGAATCCAATGAGTAATCGGTTTTGATAGACATGCAAAAGGCTTAATCTATAGTCCATTAATTTCCGGTAAATGAGAAAGCAAACAACTGGAGGACAGGGACTACAGTTCAAACCAACAAGGACATAGAAATGACAAAGTTAAAGATTTTTAGCAGTAGAAGACAAAACTGGTCACAAACAAATGGAAAAGAGTAAATGTTTCTTACCTTACACTTCTAAAGCATTTAATTATTACAGCCTTTCTTGGGAAAGAGTTCTAATGCTAGAAACAAGCGATGTAGAATTGAAAAGTTGTAAATATATTTTTTTATAAGGAGGACATTTCAACAAAACTACAGTTGTTAATGTATAGCTTTTCGTAAGAAACGGTTGCTGAGCTACTGTTCATAGTAAACAAAAAGCCTATTTATGAAATCTAAATCCGAGTAGAAGTCATCCCACTTTCCCGTAAGACAAAGGCGTCATCCATTATGCGTAACTACGATGATATAAAGTCGCACCGAATCGATGTTGGATAAAAAGTAGCAGCAGTGGGAGGACGTATGAAGTCGAAATGAAGCCAAAAAACCTATTGGACCAAGAGTTACTCGAAAGCATGACAAACAAGAGCTAAAAATACCATTACGCAAAAAAATAAGCAAAGATTCGTCCAGGACTATGTGGACATCAAATAGATTCACAAACTTAACGGCTAATTTACTGGAGTAGTCTAGTAGAACATTTATAATGGTAACAGCAGAACGGATCGGCAACCCCGCGGGAATCAAGTTGCTGAAACTTGAAGTTTTTATGAGTAGTTGGAATCGAAGACACACGCATAAGCTGGTAAGTCTAACAGAAAACAGGGTAACTTAAAAGGAACAAAAACAGTAACAGCATGAAATTCCTCGAACGAACGGCCATCAGAACCACAAGTTGTCATTTACTTGTTTAAAAAATCCGACAGTCAGGACTCTATTTTGCTAATGAAACGCAAGGGATGATAAAAATGAAAACTAATTTCCTTCACTTGGAAGTGAGCCGAATGGAAAAATACTTCACAACACAGTGAAAAAGGTGGGAAAAACATACGGAATGAGTTACGAAAGTGGAGCAAATCAAACGTTGGTACAGTGAAGTTAGCCTATGGCGCCAGCCACTGGCTTGATTGAGTAGGCTTCTCAGGCAACTCATTGAGACAAAGCTGTATAGCAGGACATGTCAGCCGTAAAAACGATGCAGTTTCACATAAACCAGTCTATTCAAGCAAAGTGCGAGAAAGCTATGTAAAAATGATGAAACCTGCGAGAGCAAATGCCAGCTGAAAGCCATGCCATCAGCCCAAACATTCACAAATAGCAGGAGAAATACGAAAATAGTTGTCTGAAGTAATCAGGGGATTCTCTTTTGAAGAAATACCCTAAGTACATTAGTGAATGAACCCGATCCTTCTCCAGATAAGTAGATTTGCATTGGCAGGAAACTAAAGACCCATAATCTTTCAAATATGGCCGACTAATGTGGAAATAAGCAAATCGTGACAAATGCGCACACAGTAAAGGACGTACCAAAGATGAAAGAAGCGCATCTTACCCCCACCATAGCAACATGTAAGGAGCAAAAGACCAGCCATACCTTTCTTGCACTTTTCTGCTTCTCCACAGCCTTTCCGACAGAAGTTTTAGCAGCCTCCACTCTGTCAACCGTCATGCCAACATTGTGCTCAATATTATCTATTAAGTCACCCTGAAAAGCAGGAAATGAGGAGGTCATCACCAAATGCCCACCTGTTGGCCGACCAGCAGAGCAATCTGCGCGAACATTTCCTTCATCTCCTCAATGCTTTTTTCCAGCTTAATGATATCCGCATGACGTGCCTCTATTTCCATGAGGGATTTCTTCGCCGCAGTGGTTTGCTCTAACACCTAAACATTGTAAAACACGATGAAACGCCTACAGCTTCAGTAAAAACACAAGGATTAGTGGATTCAAGCATGTTTTCAACTTTCTCATCATTAATGTCCGCGCCAGCAACCTGAAGCTGCAGTTTTATTCGAGACTTGCACTTGTCTCGGTATTCTAGTTGACTGCGATTATAATCCTCCATAACAGCTTGGAATCTTTTTAACAGAGCGGAATGTTGATAGGACTTTATGCGATCGATGCCGCTTAAGGGCAGAAGACGATCGGTCTTGGCGCTTTCCTCTAGAGCTAACAACGAGGATGAAGACTTCAATGGACACACTCACCCTTCAACTCTTTGCCGACCCGAAGAGAGAGGTTTTTAACATTTCTCATATGTTCGTCCAGACGGGATGAAGTCACTAAAAGTGCTATAAATGTGCAGATCAGAATACCGGAGTCTGCAGCGGGATTTGATAAAATATGAAGCTGACAAGCTTTGATTTGTGTGACGTTGCTCGAAATTTCATCAACGAGTTTGGAGGTACTATCAACCCCCTCGAGAAAGGAATCCAATATTTCTACACCTTCCACTGGTACGCCTTTTCCCACGCCACCGTTTGCTGCTTGGTACCGCTATTTGACATGTTAGCACACATTAAATGAAGCGTACGACTTTGAGTTCGGCCAGTCGATCTCGAGTCATATTAAGGTGTACAAGATGACTCTAAGATCGCCTCACGGAAGGGGACACAAGCAACGACCTGATAAAAACACTTTTCGAAAATACAGGGTCGGTAGCAATTATCTATTTCAAAGATTAAAACGAATAGAAGCTCTAAGGATTTTTATTATAGTTGTAGCTTTCGAAGAAGTAATGCAGTATAAAAACGACTAAAGGCTTGCAAAATTGGGGCACAGGAGCAGTATTTTCCCAATAATGACATCTCTAATGTACTGCACTTCATTATCCCATGAGCCTTAGTAAAACAAGGAAGACTTTCTTTCCAAGTTATATACGGTTACTGATACAGTGTTTATGATAAGTCATCTCGACTTGCAGTAACCTTAAGCATAGTAGCATCGTAAAATATAAATAAAAATAAGCATGCAATATTCTGCCGGGCGATCCTGACGTCTTTTGGCAAAGAAGTGCTTAAAGTACCATTTAATACTTTGAAGTCATAAACATTAATTTCTAGACATTCGACCCTTGCACTAGTTGAGCCTAGCGTTAACAAAAACTACCCAAAATTCTAGCGACCATTATATGACGCCAGCCATACTAAATTACTCGGCTAATTTTCACCGCACATGTGTATCCGGTCAAAATTATGTGATTTGAAGTCATTCCTCAATCCCGCGCAATTTTTTCGATCAGGTCTTTATTTTTTTCGACCACTTTATAGTTTTGTTCACCATCCCAAGTTAGCGCTCTCCCAATTCATTATTCGGTAAATAGTTGGTTTCTTTATAAGTTAAGTCTGGAAACCGTTTATCAACTTTCCAATTACTCCTGAAGTTTGGATTTTTTAATCTGTACCATCCTGAGACTTCCCATATGGCGAAAGAATGCAATGAGGCTGGATACATGTATTCCGAAGGGAACAGAACAGCTGAGCCCGAGCATGACCCGAAGGCCAACCCACGTGTACAATGGACAAACAAATCCTAGAGTGACCGCCAGACGTCATTCGGTCACATGAACAAAGTATTACATACCGAAATCTAATCGCTATAAGTTTGTTGACTTTTTATAATAAAGCTCGATGACTTCGGAAAGGTACAGGTCAAACCGACTGAGTTTGCAAAAATTGAGATCCGCAAATGACTTTGAGCAAAATGATTGTACATGCTACACACTACAACTCAATTTTTACAAGAAACAAAGTAGAAATGAAAAATCAAGACAGCCGCTATCAGGTCTGTATGCAATACGCATTTGCTTGGCAATGTTTTTTCTAAATCCATTACAGCTTTCGAGATGGAAGACGATTATGAATCAGAATGTGCGTTAAGGCAGCATCCCAATTCCGTTTTGCAGTGCCTCAGAATGGTAAAGTAAGAATAACTCTGAACAATAAGAGTATTTTTAAGAGCTTAATCTGGAAGTACTTTAACGCGTCACATCACACAGCGTTCATTGTGAACGGTAATTCAAAGCCCCTTTGTTTCTGGTCGCATGCTTCTTCAACAGAAACCAATTATAGCACCCTCCGGAGTTGAATAGAATCCAAGGTCTTCAACCCACATTTGATGCAATGGGAAGTTGTAATGAAAAAGAGGTCGAAAACGTTTTAAAATAATTTCTCACATGTTAAAACGGGCGATGTAAGCAAAACAAACCAAAATTTGCATCCACAAGCCAACAATCGATTGGTGGTGGGAATCGTTATTACTTATTGTGAATAAAATAAGTAACTATTTTAGCTTAAAAAACGCGCAACCCTATCTCTCTTGAATGGTAACGAGTTATACCACTAATGAAGAATGAGATTTACTAAGAATGCACAATAAGACTGGGAGTACCTCTTTATGAAAGAATTGTTATGAGAATAAAAGGGATGGTTTGACCAACTAAAACGGTTAGCCTGTGTAGTTAAACACGCCATTATATTAAACCCACTTTTTTTGCGTGACCGGCTTAGTATAACCATACCTTCATTCGCTCCAGCCGTGATAACTTTTAAGCAAGTCATAACCAACAATTGAATAGCGTCAGGAACAGTGCAAGGGAAAGGACCCCAACGGACAGTAATTGCTATCATTGGTTGAGAATCCCCAAGATTCAATCGAAATTTTGTAAGAGTATGTAATCTAGTAGGATGCATGCGCCATTGGTTGAAATAATCAGAAAATTGTTTCAAAGAATGATTGCTGGCGGGCGTTGGGATTAGAATCACGATTCTCTTCCCGCAGTTATGGATGCATAAGTGGATACTTCCCGTTTCAACGCAGTGCAGTACACCATTGTCAAACCCTCATGGTTAATGAAGTTAATGGTTAATGTCAATGCAACTATGGTGGCACTTTGACCAGCCTTTCTTCCGTGACATCTCGCCGAAAGCAACGTAATAAGTAGTGTTTCCTACAGCCAGACAGCCGGGCACTAGCCTCCAACTGTATTGGTGCTAGCATCAACAGCAATATAAATTTTCATTTCCTAAACCCACAATACAAGATTAGTTTATTTATATGGAACAACTTTAAATTACCTTTACTTTCATTATGTAAACAGTTTTAGTTTTACAAGAGCGAGAAAATACCCTTAATGCTCAACAGCCACGAAGTCAAAACGTCTCATACCATGTCAGCATCGTAAAGTAATGCGTTGAAACAAATTTTAGAAACAAAAGCAAAATCAAACTAATTAGTTTTTCCCAAGGCAAATGAGTGTCATCAGTGCGTAAAACGAGATGCAAAATCCTCATTAATCTTCTGGAATTATGGAGGCAAATGTAAACTAACTACCAAACGATGATTGGGTTAGTCAAGGAGACATCACCATGAGTGGAGTAGAAACGTCAGAATTCAATAAGGAGTTGCATCAAATCTCTCTACAAAGCAACTACTTTAGTTCGAACAAATGACGAGACGGTCAAGAGAGAATTAAGCATACTTTGGCTTTTGAAATGCAAGTGGTGTGGTTCATTAGGCAGTTTAAATGTCAGCGTCATTCCGACCTGACAAAAATCCACCATTAGCAGGACCAATTCTAGCGCCTTTAAAAATACATCAAAATTTTAATGCAGACGAGAGCACAATAAACTTCAAGCGGTTTACCATTTCACCTCCACACACTGCCCGTTTACAAAAAGTGTTCAAAATATAAGGACATTATTTTTGGAATTTTTTCTCCTCCCGTCCCTGTGACTGAGGCTCAGCGCCTACAAAATTAGTGATTTTTCGCCTTTTGTGCAGCTGGTCTGGATATTAGTAAATGCCAAAGCCTTCCTGAAGCTAGATAGCCCCTCAAATAGTTCAGGCAATCGAGCATTTGGGTGATTGTAGAAGGACTTGCTAGAAATCTCAAAAAAATTTTCAGACTCAATTCGCAACCTAAAGTGCTTTTGCATCAAAATTGTCCCTCTCTTACCTAATTTGGCTCTGTTATACCTAATTAATCACATCAAAGTTTATTGACAAAAATTTTCGTAAAATTATAAGGTCGCCTGTGGTTTCGTGTGCTGTGGCAATACATATACACGTTCGCCGTCTCTCCTGTTCACCTTCATTGGGTGATCTTTCAAGCAAGGTGAGTGCCTTGACACCTTTCAAAGTACTTGAAGTGGGGGAATTGCATAAAACTCCATTGCCATGGAATTGTTGTTCACATCATAACAGAAGCTACAGAACCCACCAAGTTTGTCTGGCGAAGATGGGCCCAACTCCATGTAAATATGGTTTGGGTATGGGTTTGTTTGGTTATCAGTTTGATTGGGTTGCCTTAGGTAGCTGCACAAGGGCCACCTCATTTTCCGCATACCTGTTGAACTATTGATAACTTCCGGCCAATCTCAGAACGCATTCCTTAAATGATCTTCTTGCCAGAATCTCAACCATCACAACGACTTTTATCAATACTTTACTTTGGGTGCCCTGAGTTTAAAAATGAGAGCCAAATCATCGAAAAACATTTATGAATACCAATTGGGGAAATTAAAGTTTTTTACCAAAGAACGAGAAAACTTATTGCTACTATTATAAGAAAAGAAGTTCTGGGTACTATGACAGCGTTCTTCTTTTGGGCGTCGTCCCTCAAGGTTTCTACATCGCTCTTCTGTCCCAATCAAGTGAGTCAAAATCCATTTGCGGTTTGACAAATGAAGAGCCCACTTGAGTTCGGATTTATAGAGTCGCCAAAAAAAGGGAAGCTTCATCGCTTATGGCTGATATAAAAAGCGGTGTTGGTGGCCTGGTGATGCATGATGGTAAACGTGATCGCCAGCCAAAGAATCGGAGAGGCAAACGAAGTAGCTCTTTATCGACTAGGATAAAAACCACCCGTTTTAGCAGAGTAACGCAGTGCAGCAGACAACGAGCGATTTCCATCAGCTTGACAATAGGGTTTTATCTCTTGTGCAGCGCCACATTAAGCCATTAAGGAGGAATCGTCCTTTTGTGTTGTAAACGAATAAAAAAATCAAGCACCTTCTCATTAAACACACTCACCACTACCATCAACAATTCTCTCCAGATCACCAGCAAATAACTTTTCTTCAAAAGCAGCAGGAGGAAAAGGATGCAGACACCGTTGCATTACCATAACAACTTAATTGAAAATAGTCAAGAGAAGAAGATCTATAAAAATCATTACGGTACGCCTTTCAAAACAATGCGTATATGCATGGTTTTCTTACAAAGCGCAACGTAGGCAAAGTTGAAATTTCAGATGAGCAAAATGGCCCCTACCGGAAGCAATGCGTTTTGCATATCTTAACATCAAGTGTCCTTCAACATCATCAAGCACATTGCCCTCCGCATTCCGGTAAGTCGAAAACAGGAACCACCTAAAGTGGGCGTTTTTGCATGCAAAGGTGGACTGACATGCAGAGTTATCTTTGCTTAATCATCGAGATTTCGCAATAGCTGCATTTCTTTTTCCACTAGCCTACTCAATCCAAACTGTCCTCTTCCAACTCACTTCCAGACAACTTTTTCCATTCATCTCACCTTCGTATGTCATTAAGAGCTACTATCCTTGTA